GATATATGCGCTGACAAATTGCCTTCTCTACTTTGAGTTGGCATTATGTAATTATGGCAGTTAGAGAGTGCCTTCTCTATAAACGCTGTAGAAAAGTATGAAAGGTTACAACTCAAATTGGATAAAATATTCTAATGAGGGTCTAAGTGTATCAAGCTGCACTTTCTTTTTAACACAAAAAATTTACATAAATTCATGTGTAATTGTTGGTAAAAGTGGAAACAATTTAGCAACATACATACATACACAAATGTGTGTTATAGGTAAAAGCGCTCATCAGGAACAATTGACTTCGCTGTCATGAAGCAAATTCCTGCTCTTTAAATGAAGATCCTGTGAACTGCTCAAACACTGATATCTTTTTCACAATCTTATGAGCGCTATATACATGTACATGTACGTGTGTGTGTGTTTGTTCTCATGCAACTGAACAAATATAAGGTCGATCAAACATCCCTCAATGCTTGATAAGATGTTTAACTTTTCCGCACACATACACACATACATATAGTATATATGTTGTTGTTTATCACATATTTTCAAAGGCGTTGAAATTTATCCGCATAAAAAAGTAGACCAGGTGTTGATGACCACACAGATGTTCCAAATGTAAAATATTAAGTATTCCGGCTGCTCAATTTTGCATATTTAAAAATTTGAAGAAAAAAATATTTTTTGTGTGTGTTTGCTTGTTTCTTGATAAATTTGTAGTTCCTTGAGAAATGCAGTCAGCAAGAACGATTGCTACGCAGCAAAAATAGAGGCGAATAATCTTCTAAGAAAAGCGGAAAAAAGGGGTTGGATATATGCATATACTCGCACAACAACAAGAAAAAACATAGGCGGTGACACCACAGCGCAGAAGTCGTGGCCAACAATAAAAACAAATATTTCTTTTATAATTATGAGTATATTTGAGCGCGAGTAATACGAGGGTACTTCCAGCAGTTATAGTGGCTTGAAAAAATATATTTTATTTTTGGGAAAAAAATAATTTTAATAATGTTTCTTTGTAACAGAATGCATTTATTTCCAAGTCCTTAGTTTTTTATGTTGAAAAAAAAAAAACTGAATTTAAGGACTTTATAATATGCTGCTATCTCAAAAGCAACCCTGCAGTCATAACACAATTGTGTTTAATGCTAGGACACTTTCTCTAAACAAAAATTCTTTTTTCAAATAAAAACAGTAAAAACGCTAACTGCAATTGCACAGAAGCAAAAATACCGTCCACAAATAAAAAAAAACTTGACTTGTTTCTGTTCGATCAGTTTGTATGGTTCGATCTAAAAAATGTATTAGGAGATTGTAGCGTGTTCTTAGGTAATATTCTGCACCAAATATCTTGTCGAAGAAAAAAATTTCCGAATAAAAACTTATATGCTATAATAGTCCGATATTAGTGATTCCGAGAAATGAAAAAAAACTGTGCAATTAAAATTTTCGTACCTATCATGCTGTTCATCTTATTGAAGATTTTTAGCATGACCCGCTTTTACTGGATTCCTGACTTTTCGGTGCCATTGATACCGACATCCAAAAAAACTTCTACTGAGGAAATAAAATTTTATTGAAACCGCCATCAGGACTTTCTTTTGCCTAAATAATGTTTTCGACCCCAAAAAATAATGCATTTCAGATATAGGAGACCATCTGTATGTCTGCCGAAGCAATACACTATACATGTACTAGTAAATCGCCAAAAATGATACATAATGAAATTTCCGTAAGGGCTGACAGACGGATTATGATAAGGCGGAATAACTTAAGAAAATGCACGATCACAAAGATCATGTGCAAGAGCCCCAAAGAATGTTCTTTACCCACCGGTCTGCCGGTCTACATAACGAAATTTTCGAAAAGGCTAACAAACGGATTAGAGTGAGCCGGAATACTTTAAGAACCACCAATATTCTGTGCAGAGCCTTGAAGAATGCTTTTTACTCACATATTCAAGACTATATGAAAGTTGTTACCCTAGTCACAGATTACAAGTTACTGGCATCAAGTACGACCCAGATGGGCATTAGTATCGATGATGCATGCAAAAAATTCAGGAAAGTGGTCATACAAGATGCGCTGGGGCACCTCCTATGCTTCTGTTCAGCCTAATGCAGAGCTTGTCTGAGGTATTAGGGACCTTCGCAATTCAAAGGACTAGATGAAGTATCAAAATTAGATATTAAGTGGCTCTTCAAGCTCGCAAAAAGGGTTGTCGTTCTGTATGAAGAATACAATACTTCAGCTTAAAATAAAATGAACCTCCAATTAGCATTACTATGGTATAGTAGGTCTATGTATGGTGTGACAGCCCGCCAGTTTAACCTAACCAAATCTAATACAGAAAACTTCGTTTCAACAATTTTCGTTCAAAAATTCAAGAATCCACTAACCGACTCTAAATTAAAAAATATAACTAGATCACAAAATCTGCTTAAAATTTAACAATCGTCAAAGATCAATTTGAAGTTAACAGACGCAGTGTTGCATTTATAAAGACACGGCTAATTAATCCCAAATTCATCAACTTATCAAAGAACCCTCGTAACAATAGTAAATAATTTTGTAATTGAGCGCATGACTTTAAATTTGCGCACTTTTACAATTACAAACACACTGAAAGGAATCACGCTAGAGTGACTACTGACCGCCCGAGCGTTCTTCAGCTGTCTGCAAAGTGGTTACGCGACCCTGTCAAGAATGTCTTGCACTTTTGGTGGCACATACACACACAATACATACATACATATGCAAATGCAGCTAGGCTTTTATCAACGCATACATATGTACGTAAGTGCTTCCGTCCAGTTCGATTGAGTCTGCTTGACAGTCCGCTAAGTAAAAGAAGCCGCTAAGCAACGATCACCACCACTTTGGCCGAGATTTCATGACCGCTCACCAGACTGTGTGAACTCGCATATCCATATAAGAAGGACTGTATGTATGTACATATGTACGTACACTTTACATTTGCGCAGCTGTGCGCAATTTGACGATTTCAAGTCGAGGGAATCACAGCTGCTGACCGCTCTGTTCCGTTTTTTTCTTCGCTCTTTTTTTGGTGGGTATTTGTGATATCGCCGCAGGGCAGCCGGCCAGCGAGCAATTATCAGGCGGCATTACGTCAATATTTGTGGTAATTTGCATCCGGAACTTGACTTCCCAACAAAGCTTATGACACATGCATATGTATGTATGTTTGTGAGCGATAGCTGCCGTTTCCTTGGACTTATGCGTGAATGTACAGTATAAGGTATATCCATATGTGATGTACTTAGAAGAGTATTTAAATATGCGTTTAGTACTTGCTTTGCTCATTATTTATCTTGAAAGAAAGCTATAAAAAATAGACTGGAACTATTTTTGACTAAAGCCTCAAACGACTTGGCAGAACCTTCCTCAACAACTGTACCGCAGTCCAGCGTATGACGTCTGAACGAGTTCAAGGTCTACTTTGTCTTTGAATTTTATCACTGGTATTGATGATGACGAGGTGATTAAGAGGTCGAAGAGAAATGAGAAGAAGACAACAATAAGTTTTACACAAAAAAAATAATCCTAACCTAACATGCTTCAAACTAAGCTTTGGTTAGTCCTTTGCGATACCAGATGTTCTTTCATACGAGTTTTTCAAAAAGACTCGTATGCAAGTATGCTGGAAAGGGAGCAAGTTTTTTGTGAGCGTAGATAGCTGACTCAGACGAACTGTTCGTCTGGAGATCGGCTAGCTCATTTTCATCTCCCTCTAAGGATCCATGCTATTAAAATGTTTTTTTTTTTCGGAAAAACTCTTGTAAGCATTTTTATGCCTCCAGTATTATTTGACCGTTCAATTTAAAGACATTAATGTTGAGTTCCAAAGAAATTCGAGAGTGTCGATGAAAATTAAGGAAAACAGTGGAGCATCTTTTGTACGCTGTAAGCATCTGAGGTCCCCGTGGTATGATATAATGATAGCGAGACCGACGAGCTTGTAAAAGCAAAAGCGAAGGCACCATAAAGGGTGACTACTTCTCTTGGACCTAGGAACTGAACTCCATAAGGTATCGCAAAGGACCAAAACTGGTCTATGCGTGGCTTATTGAACTACCAGTTTAACCTAACCTAACCAAAGCTTTCTATAACTTGCTTCAATATCAATACGGTTCTCCTGCCTATTATAGCCGGCCTTTCAAACGAGTCTTTTTGAAAAACTCGTATGAAAGACCCAAGTGGTTTATAAATAAAAAAAAACTGTATGGAAAACAAAACCTCTGAGTTCACTCAAATTCTTTTCTAATACCTTCCTAAAGTGAATACGAAACTGAAAAATTTTCCGACGAATTAAACTGGTTGAGTCTAATTAAAAGTCCACTTGCGTAAGAAACCGAAATTTAAAACATTTTAGTTGTACTGTCTTCGAATAACAACCCTTATGTCCTATATCCGCCAAAAGTCTTTGTAAAATATTCAGTTTCTGGCGCCATCTCATGGTGGCCGTCAAAAACTGTGACGAAAAAATTCACATTGCTTAAGAACTGGCTAGATGTCGCAAGAAATGTGGTTGTTGTAATCGCTAGAAATCTTCAAGCTAATTCGATTCTGAATTGTACACTGAAAATAAATTAAATAATTTATATAAGTGCTAGGAAGAGAAACCGGGTTTTTGAACTTATTCATTAGCATGAGTCCAAAGTTGGCGTGCAGCGACTAAAACCGTCTAACCGTGGGATTTCAGCGCTCAGAAATGCTTCAGACTGCAAAATTTTTATTGAGAACCGAAGTCATACTTTATAGTATATACCGACTGCCATCTATTCATAACATTTAGGCTGATGAATAGATTATCTTTCTAATATACTGCACTTAGCTAGAATTAAAGATACAAAAATTACATTTGTATATCTTGTCAGCGAAGTGATTTGAATATAATCTACCGAAATCTCCCAGTACGATTTTCTCATAGCGCCATCTGTTGGTTTAGAAGGGAAATTTTATACAGCTGATTTTGACACAACAAACAGACAGCGCAGATTTATTTGCAGAGAACGTTGTTTAATAGAGAACAACTGTAAACAAGCAAATAAATGAAATGCAAAAACACATAAGAATAGCAGAAAATAGTGGAAAAACAAAGGTGATGTGGAGTGAGGATACCGAGGCCGATCTTGCTGGCGTTTTTGCTCGCCACAGCTTCGATCGGGCAGGCAATACAGCTGTCACATACTCGTATATCAGGAGATGGCGGACACTATAGAGACTCTTGGCCACGAGTATACTGCCGCTGAAATAAAGGTGAAACTGTATGAATTCACCAATGAATGAAAGTTAGTAATAAATTAATAAATAAAAGATTATTATTAAAAAGTATTTGTTGTATATTTTTAGGCAGGAGCAACAAAAAATTGGCAATTCGTCATGGACACATTTTACCGCGGTCCACGAAGCGTTACGAGCTTGTAGAAGACAGCATTATGGGTACGGTTTGATAATGCGCCTTCTCTTTAAAATAAATATATACAAACATTAGTACGTATTATTTGAAATTAGTATTCGCTTTTATATTAAATTTAATGAAACTATTTTTTTGGATCATTTCTCATTGCTTTTATATGGTATTGTTATTGTCTTTTATACATACATATGTACGTATTTTATTACAGTTGATATTGAGAACATTGAGCCGATATATGAGGATTGTGACACCGAATGGCAATCAAACCTTTTGATTATTGACACCTCGTCATCCGATAGCTCCAATCACTCTTCATCCAGTGATACTGGAAACACTATAAAGAAAACGGCAGTATCGATGATGGAAGAATTACGGGTAGATTTTTTGAAGGCGACTCAGACCTGGAAGGAAGATGATGAAAAAGAGTAAATTATTTTGCAACAACATGCCAATGACGTTCGTGAGATGAAGGATGCTTTCATCGACTTCCTTCGTCGCCAAAATTAGTCTTGGACTTGTTTTTTATGCTTAGAAATGTAGATATATGTATGTATAATTATGAAATAGTTTTATGTTTGTTGTTTTACCGTAAGCCATGCTTTTTTAAAAATACAATGATGGTTTAATTTAAAAGACTGTACAAATTCACAAAATAATTTCAGCGCTCATTTAAAGTTATGTTATAAAGAAAGTAGGCGTGCACTATAAGATAAAAATATCAGGATAATGTTACCAAGTAATTTGGATAAAATTAGTTGAATAGGTCCGGAGATATTAGTTCAGACGTAAAGGCGAGCGTTTCCACGCTTCTCATCTAGTTTTAACACCGGTTCCTGGAAAGCCCTCTTGTACCAACCAGGTTCTAAAATTTAATGTCTGATGCATTTAGTTACTGAATTATGGTTCTTTAAGTAGTTTAAAAAATTGTTTTATGCAGAGTGAGCAGGGTTATCATACGAATCCACCTATTTTTACATTTTCGCAACTTAATAAAGCTTCATTCGGAAGTTGTTTTTAAAAATGCATCTACAACTTTATTAAAGCAGAGTAATCGTGACTTAGTACATTCTTGCCTGTACCATTATTTTGAAGTTTTCCGTCATTTTAAGTTTCTCGTTTTTTTATGACTCAAAAATGTGGTTATGTTTATGTACCTCAGGCGATGATCTGTTACAGAAGGAGAGGTTTTAGAAAATTACTATTATTTGGGAAGAGAATTTAAATAACAGCAGACATTGACGAATACATCCATATATATATGTATACAAATATCCATATTTTTCTGTTATACTTATGTACAAAAAGTAATTATTTTTTCTCTAGGGAAGTGCGGAAAAAGGGTTTGAGTAGTTTTTCAAACCCGAAAATCTCCCGAATATCCGCCCATGCTATACCTATTTATAGACTTTAACGAAAAACGAGCTTTGTGATGACGTCATCATAATTCAACGAATTTCAAAGTGTACTCCGGCTAGGACAGATGTTTGCTAGAAAGAACTAGAAGAAAGCGTATAGATTTGCAGTAGATATTTCGAAAGAGAGCCAAACAACCAGACAAAAACCACAGTTTGAATGGAAAAAAAGCTTTTTTGTACGGATTTTTATACTCAAAGTACTCAAGTTCACAACAAAAATACTTCGAAGCACAGAAATTTCGATGAATAAATATTATAAGAACTAGAAAATAAAATCTATGTTTAAATTTTCTGATTTCCTTAAAATAATGTGATCGGCTTAATTGATCAAAACGCTCCAGCAAGCTTACTAAAGCATTACTCTCCGAGTCAATGATGCCTAAAAACGTTTTCTACTTTTATATAAATACATAAGTATGTACATACATACATACTTACAAATATATACAATTCTACACAATTCCACATTGAATGTTGAATAAAAGCATTTTGTTAACCTAACAGCTTAAAAGCTTGCTTCTCCCCAGACACCGGTATGATATGCTCTATTTGCTTATACTCACGAGATGTACTTCGACTGGCTTTATTATGCCTCTCTTAAATACATAAATATGTATGGATATGTATGGTTAATATATACTTATATATGTACACTTTAATCCCATTTGCAAAATTCAAAGCTTTTTAGACTGATCCAACTGAATCACTCATCGGAAGTATCAAAGTTACCGTGCAAAGCCTTGTAGGTATGTATGTAGCAATTTACGTGTGTTATTAAATTGTTTATCATTATACCACTGACGTAGCTACAAATGTGAATACGTATGTCTACTTTAGTATATGTCATTGGCTGTAAATATGTTTGTATGTATGTATCTCACTGACTCGTAAATGCAGTATACGGTTTCACTTGTTGATACTCACTTCTTTGCATGCTACGATGTCGGTAGATATTCGCTCAGCCGTAGCGCTCCGAACCGAACCACTGCTCAACAGCCGATATGTCCGAGAGTACCGGCATGCTTAGACAATTGCCGCGAGCGCACACTGCAAATTTGCTGAAACCGACTCAGCGCTCTCACCAATAATAGCTTCACAGCACTGCTTATTTGGCATTTTACGCTTTGAGGTTCGCTTGCCTTAACTTCGTTTGCCTACGCGCATACCTACACCCTTGTTTACTTACATACTTATGTACTTATGAACATACCGAGAACAAGAGTGTGTGCCGACGAATTGAATTGATAATTTCAAGCGCGCTTAATGAGCACAACGTTTTCGCTTCCATGTCTCTCGGTCGTAGCCGATCGACGGCTATTATGTGGCTACACCAGCTTAGTATCCGATAGAGTTTGGAAGCAATAAGTTGTTTATTCGGTTGAGAGGACGCTTCTGTGTTGCTGAACGTGGTTTTCCGGAGCTTTATAAAGCTTATTGTTGTAATTGTAGTTCGCTGCTCTTTTTTTTTATACAAACATACGGACAATGGAATTGTTAAACGCGAAGCACCGCGATTACAAAACGCGCAATATACTGACGACGGCGGAGCGTATTCAGGTGATCAAAGCCTACAAACGCATGCCGAACTATCAACGTTTGGCGAGCACATTCGGCTGCAGTGCTAAGCAGATAAAGAATATCATTTCGAATAAGGATCAACTGTTGCGTCATTACGATAGTGTACGTGCCAATAAGCTAACCGATGAGGTGACCAATCGACGGCAAGAGAAGATCGACTTTCTCGGCAAAGTAGTCTATGAGTTTCTGCTGCGCGCCCTCTATCTGCGCATGCCGATCGGCACCACAATCATACGCCAAAAGGCATTTGAAGTTAAGGAAGCGATTGCCATTGAAAATTTCTCACCCAACAATGTTTGGCTACGCGACTTCAAAGCCACTTATAATCGTTTGGATTTGGCGAGCATGATGGAGCACTTGCCCAGCGATATGGATCAGCGACGTTCGCTGAAGTGCATCGATATAATCGAGTATGTTAGTGAGCAGGAGAGAGAAGAGCGGCGCAAAATTTTGACAATGACGAAAGATGAGAATTGCAATAGTGTGTGGGAGAGCGATGCGGATGGCAGTAATAGTTCGTGCAGTTACGAGCATACGATGACTAACAGCGATACTGATATGAAAAGTAATGATGACGATAGCGTCGTCGGTAAAAATATTGAGCCGATTGTCGTGAATCTTGCATCGGATGACGAAGAAGAGGGCAGCGATGATGTCTCTCTTGCCAAAGCAAAATCAATCAACACGCCTGCTAATCAGAGCATTTCGACGCAAAAGCCGATAACGTTGCCCCCCTTCCCCGATATACACAGTTATCCGGAGGCTTTGCGTCATTTGCGGGTGCTCGAAGACTTTGCGATGATTGAGGAGAACTATCGTGCCATCGGTTTGATTACTCAACTGGAGCAGATATTTAAGAATCCACCCAAATTGAAGAGTTTAACTCATTGAATTCGAAGTGGAATTTAAACTAAGTTCAGTTATTTGTTGAAGAAATATGTAAATACAAATTTATTAACTATTAATATATAGTATTAGTATAAGAATAATTTAAGTAAATATTTCCTTACACATGTATGTATGTATATTTATATAAGGTCATTATTATATTTACAATTTATAATAAGCGGCATTGTTCCAAATGTTATATGACTAAGGCTTTTTACAAAAGCTTTTGCTAATTTTATTTTTTGATTTTTTTAATTTTTTATTATATTTTTTAAATTTTTTTTCTTTTAACTTTTTTAATAATAAAAAACTTCAAAAGTTTTGAAGTTAAGTGTAATAATTTTTTAATGGTGCCTAAAAATTTAGTTTAGCAACTCTGTATAAATCACACATTTTCAATGAATTACTTTTTAAACCTTTTTATTTTTGTTCTGTAAGTTATTATTATTTTCTAAAGTAATCTGGTTATATAGTACATATTTGCATAACCTAAAAATATTTATGTCTAAGTAATGAAACCTATATTTTAAAGTTTCAGTTATGTCAAAGTAGCTTATGCCAGAAATGTAAATATTTTCATAAAATCTATTTTTGATTATCATTTATTTTTCTTTATTCTATATTTTGATTATAGACTCCTAAGACTTCTTAACATTCCAATGAATACACATGTACATAAGAGTTGCAAAAATAAACTATAAATTTCTTTGAATAAATGCTTACTGGTGTTTAACAAACTGTATATCGACCTCAAATGTTCGAAATACTTCCCATAATCTACAATGATACAGCTATGCTGCTTTTGAGGAATATTTTTTTTTTGTAGGAAGAAGCATGGAAAACCGGAGTGCGGGACTTTAAACTGCTAAATCTTACCATCTCATGCTTCTTCCACGGGAATACAGGAGAAAGTATTATTCATGTGAGAGAAGAAGTCATTTAAGTATTCTCTATTGTACGGACTGATTGATTTAATCTAATCTGTTGTAAATGTCTCAATATTGTCATAATTAAAGCTGCCGCTTCACTGACAGCTTTCCACAGGACCCACACATAATCATGTATAGTGTAGTCAAAATTTCCACCGTGAGATTACTTGAAAGTGTGTTTTTCAGCCTTATACTTGAAAACCGAGGGCAATGATGGAATACGTGTTCAGAGTATTTTATACAGTCTGTACGCAAACAATATGGACTAAAATCATGACGATATTTGTCTAGGTAGTTTCTAAAGCAGTGGGAAGAGACTTCCCACCAAATTAAGTTCTAACACAATAAATCAGTGTATCGCCTGCTTACGTGGAACTCAAAAAGATTTTCACCTCGTTTGTCGTATTTCCGAGATTGTTTTTACTTAAACACCAAAGATTTAAAACTTCTACTCGATCAATCTTTTCTTAGTTTTACAATGAAATCTTAAATAACATAAATAGCATCTGAGCTCTGAAATTATCATATGAGATTTTAAATTATGTTACGTAACCGGAACGAATCCGGATTTGCAGAACACTGTCCTCTTGACTGCATTCCCCCGAATTAACTGCAGTATTATGCTTCAAGGACTATCCGATTTCACAGTGCCACAAAAAGTAAACTCAGAGCATAAATATGCAGCTAAGTTTTTGTATGAAGCCTGTTGTCCAACTTCAATCATCATTCGTGAATATTAAATTTTTTTATGTTCTCTCTCTTAGCATGATTTGAAATTGAGTCTACGGTCGCTTATGAAGCCCCCATTTACAGACAGCCGTTATTTCATTCATTTCAATATCCATGATTCCAATTTCCATTATTCCGACGATTTAATGCCAAATAATTCGGTCTGAAAGCGTGATAGGACCAAGGATCTTCTTTTAAGGGCATTCATCTATTCGGTGTTTAGAACAGTGTAGTTTGGTATCAAAAATTTGTATGCATACCTTGCCTTAGTAACTTAGCTAAATCAGGAATATTTAATATATGTACATACATACAGCTGTTCGGCTCCAAACTAAATCCACCAATTTATTTTTTCATATCACACGCTTCTAAGCTTTTATAAATAATATAATATTTATGTTTTCTTTTCATCATTTAAAACAAATACAAAACACCTGTTCTACGGCTCCCAAAAAGTTTGGACTATCGCAGTGAATATCAAGAGAGTAATGAGACGCTCTCTCATATTCACTTTTCGAATCCGTATGTATTGGGTCTCTCGCGTATGTTTGGAGATCTTAATTATAGATATTGAGAAAATTATCAAAATATTTTTAATATTTTTGCTATATTTACAACAAATAACGGTTATACGAGTATTTAAACGTGTATTTGCACTTTTGTAGCCATTTATATAAATCCTTTACTGAGATTTTTTGCATACTCACACGTCTATATGCATATATACATGATTATGTACCTATCTACATGTACATATGTATTAATATATTTTGTTTTTTAGCTTCCCAAACAGCTGTTCGGCATTGTTTTGACTTGTTAATATAACAGACAAACACTCGGCAAGCGATAGCAGAGAGAGCATGCAATGTTTACAAAATTTCAGTGCAGAAAGCTATATATGTACATGCATAAGTATATACACAGCTATACTATTATATATTACCTATTATTGACTCTCAAACTCAGCTCTCGCGCCTAAAATTCCACCAAAACTTGCTCTCTTGAAAACAGTGAGATGCTCTCGTGTTTAGCTATGCACGTATGTGTAGGTATATGTATGTATATATTTTTGTATATGAGTTTATATATGGAAAATACGATTTTGAGCACACTATTTCCCTCGGCTACTACTCTTCTTATATATTAATAGATAGACATGTGTGTGTCTGACGATCGTCACTGCCAAGGCTTGGTCGGCTGCTCAGTATCCGATACAATTTGATCGTAGTGTGTTGTTTTTCGTCTGTAACGGTGGTTTTCCGCCGCTTTATATCACTAATTGTCAAAATTAAACCACTTTGCATACTTTTGTTGTATATACATACATATACAATCTTAAATAAAGTTATATATATACATATGTATATGTAAAATGGAGCCGCAACAGCTGAAGTGGCGCCAATACAAGTCCTACAAGAGACTGACGCTGGGCCAACGCATACAAGTGATTAAGGCCTACACATACATACCCAACTATCGGCAATTGGCCATGCATTTCGGCTGTAGTCAATTGCAGATCAGGAACATTATGGCCAGCAAGGATGAACTACTGCAGAGCTATGAGAACGCACGTGCCAAGAATCTAAACGCCACAGTGGACAATTCGAATGAGGCGAAAATCGAATTGCTCGGCAAAGTGATCTTTGAGTTTCTACTACGCGCACTCAATCTTCGCATGTCGACCGATGCGACCGCCATACGCAGCAAAGCGTTGGAGGTGAAGGAAGCCTTGGCCATTGAAAATTTCACACCGAACGATGCGTGGCTGCATGCTTTCAAACTAAAACACAATAATGTGGACCTCATGAAGACGATGGAACAATTGGAGAGTGATATGGGTAAGCGTAGCTCGTTGGATTGCAATGACATTATTGCATATGTGCGCGAGCAGCAAAAAGAGGAACAGCGCAAATTGTTGGCCGAAGATAAGCGCATTGCTATATTGAGTAGAAGAGTGGAAGAGTTGTGCAAAAGTGAAACTGAACTGAATATGGAATGTGCAAAAAGTACAGGGAAAACTGCAAAAGTACCCACGACAACAAAAACCCAAAGACGTCTTAAAGACGATATCGAAGCGCTTGTTATGAGCATAATGTCAGATGTCAGAGAACAAAATGTCGCAACGTCAGTGCCAAGTACAAGCACTACTCAGAGCGCCCAGTTAGTGGAACCCACTGAAATCGGTATAAAAACCGAAGCAGCGGCGAATGACCTAGTCTCGGTTGTTAAAGTTGAATCCACCGATATTAGCGATAACACTGGCAGCATAACAACTCAAAAACCAACAACAAATCAGCCAAAACGTAGCGCACGTATAACAAATTATAAGGAGGCGTTGCGTTATTTAAGAGTTCTGGAGAATTTCGTCATGACTGAGGAGAACTATAGCGCGCTTAGCTTAATAACACAACTGGAGTATATATTTAGGAGTGTGGCCGATGCGAAAAGTAAAGCTACGTAAATTAATTACTTATATAGGTATATGAAAGATACCTGTGGGAGCATATAAAACATGGTTGGGAGAGACTAGTGTAGGCCAGCCACGGCATACATACATACAAATATAAATATTTGTTTTTGTACCGCGGAAGCACTAATCATTATGGAGGCAAAATGCGAATGAAAGTACTGCGACTCGCTGTTGTAATTTGTGTAGTAAGACTAAGCACATAGTTGTGCGAACAGCGAAGCTGTGATAAAATACGGAATATAAATTAATATTAACTATATAAATTTAAGTTAGATTAAAACATTTTAATAACTTTGTTCTGCTAGATTAATAGCTGGGAAAGTTTTTAGGTGTCTATGTAATAATACAAATTATTCAATACTATGTTCCAAAGAATTTTCAGAGTTATCTCTAACTGTTGATTTGTAAGAGCAAAAAGATTCTAGCATGCTTCTAATAATTTTAGCAATTACAATTTTCGAAATAAATTTTTTAGTCTGATAATTTTTAACTAGTTTATTTGAAGAAAATATAAGGGCTATTGATTGTATTCTCTTCATTGAGATAGTCATTATATGACGATCACAAATTCCTTGATAACTTTTTCCTTCACTTTTAGATCCTGATCGCACCGCTCTCTCGCTGTTCCTCACTATAATTTCTAAAATTATCCGAAAACTTAACCAGATGATTGTGATTGATCCTGAAGCTTGAAGGTCAGAAAGCTTGTCAGTTTATTTTTCACAATTTCTCCATAATTTGGTGTTTTAAGACTACCTTGGAAATTTTAACTAAAACCTTCGTAATGAATAGTCGTATATTTCAGCTTCATCAGTTATTGATGATTGATTTTAATATGTATAAGTATATCCTAAATGTGATAAACTTAACCTAGAAACTGTGAATCTACATTAGTGACGTTGTTTATGTGACATATGTATGTATGCCTTCGGTTGTTCGAATATTTTGCCAAATAAACGTCATTTGCGAAAAGTTTTGATTTTCTTCTTTCAATCAAAGAAATCGGCGGCTGCAGAACTTCGGCGACTCTAAAAGTGCAATCATATGCCGTGATTGGTTTCGTTGCTTCAAATACGGCGATTTCGTTATCAACGACCGTCCGCGTGAATGAAGGCCAAAAACCTTCGAAGACGCTGAATTGGAGTCGTTGCTCGTTGAGGATCTGTGTTAAACGCAGGAAGAGCTTACTTCAGCATTGGGAGTCACACACTAAGTAATTTCAAAGCGACTACATAAGATGAGAATAATTCAGAAATAAGGCGCTTCGGCAACTTTCATAACTCGAACTCTTAAATTGGCGACAGCGTTTAGAAGTCATAAAAATTCCTTGCCATAAATCGAACTATTGAATTGGTACGTGACTTAGTAAACAGTTGTTTACGAAGGAGTATTTATCCCTTCAAATGTTCCTATCACAGTTTATATTGAGCTGGACTATGAGATTTGCTCAGTCGGATTTATAACAGATGGTATTGCAGATATTTGGCGCTCCTTTAAAACGTCTTCAAAGCCCAATGTGGCTACTTTCTATTCGATTGAGCCAACGTCACTTTCCGACAGGCCAGCCGATAAAGCTTTATGTGCTAAGACTTCGAAAACCCACCAAGTGGAAGTGGAATTTTTCATAACCAAAGCCATGGCAATAGGCACATCTTTATTACCAGCCGAACTATTTGTCACTACTTGAAGCGGTGAAACTCGTTTTACATTCGTAACAATTTTAGGCGTTTTTTAGAATTACTCGACACAGAGGATTCCTCATTTTGCAAAATTTCGCTTGTTCGGTCATGTTAAAGCAGTTATCATTGTAGTCTTCGTCCTCGCTGCTTACACAACTGCAGAGAAAGAAATATTTTTGTAATTAAAAAATTTAATTCTTAATATTTTTTTATATTATATTTACTTGTTGTTAGATGGTATACTATCTAAAAAACAGCTCTAAGTGCAACTTGAATTTCTAGATCTCTATCTTCTTGGCTGTTAGGCGTTAGGTGCCTCTTTTTCTTTTGAACGTGTCACGTAACGGTTTTCAGCGTATTCTGCACAATGCATCTGGAAAATACAAACTAATATAGCAAAAGTAGTAAGAGTTCCTACAAATCCTAAGATACCGAATATGAGAATCTCTGCATCTGTTTGACTTTATGCTCACCGGTGTCCGTGCCTATCAATGGAATTCTTTCGTGTTATCAGAAGCATCCAGCAACATCCGGGGTTCTACTGGGCTACTGGCATTTCATAAACGTTTGTCATGTAACTGGATACAAGGAGTTTGCCTTATCCTGGCCATCTTTTACGGCTACAGCAATCAGGCCATCTGAAGATAAATTGTGATCAATATATTAGTACATACTTTCACCTGTCAAGCTGTTCTGACCTTATTTGTTGCACTCGGGAAGTAGGACTAGTATGTTGGTGACTTTAGTCTAGATACGATGTGTCCCGAGATTATCTATGGCTCCAGAACTAAGTTGTTGTCAGAGTTGGTAACCTTCAATTCCCTCCACACAACAGGATTTTATCTTCTGAGGAGCCTAAGTGCATCATCCGGTTCTACCGTTCGTGGAATGAGCACCTTCGCTTTCGGAAAAATGGGAATGCAGCTACGGTACACAACGTCCAGAAGGCGACCCTTCTATAGGCCTTGAAGGTTCCGAAGCACTTATTTTACCCATAGAATGAGGACACGTCCTTGCATTTGAGGATTTTGACCTTATTACGCCAGGCGCGCCCGGGGTCCTATCCATTCTTGCGAAGAGCGCATCAAACAGCTTCAGCTGCACTGCTTTCCTTTACTCTTGAGTAATCTGTCCCATGGGTTGGCTAAGGTCAATTAGCCCCACGATTCAGGGCTTCTTGGCTATCTCGCTGTTCTTTGCATGAGCTTTATGTAAAGTCTATATATACATACATGTATGTATATCGATATTTATACAGCTGACTCCAGGTAAAAGTATTGATAGCACTGCAAGTAAAAAGCAAGAAAAATAGCTATTTGTTGTTTTAAAATAACAAAAAATATTCTACTCTCACGACTTTCATCACTTAACTTGATCATTCCTGCAACGCGTTCTGACTATTCTACTTTATCTAGTTGCTGAAAGTGAAAGCGAAGATTAAAATAGGAACTTCTCTCATACCCACGATCTCCGTTTGAAACCAACTTCCTCACATGTGACACCTCTCTACCGAGACTGAATACCCTATGGTTACTCTTCCTTTTCTTCCGCAAATACATAATCTTACTGAAAATATTTCGGACTGTTTGTTTTTTAAGTTGGTTAAACCTAATTCAGGGGCCCTCTTCCCATGGAAATTGGGTTTTTGAATTAAAACAATATCGAACTCACCTTTAAAAGGTCAGTCAAAACATTCTAGTAATTGGACGCCGCGTGAGTGCCATTTAATCTGCGTGAACAGCATTTTTGTTTTAGCTGTTAACTCCTCGGCACCGCCTGTTCCTGTTAACAATAGAGGGTAGGCGTCATCGGAGTGTCCCGATGAACTCATTGTGGTGGGAAGACTTCAACGTCTAATAATAAGGCCAAGAATTTTCTCAGTGGTTATTCGTGCCGATAGCGGTATCGTCTGTTCCCATGCTGTGATGTTATTAGAGTGCGCAACGGTAGATGGAAAAGTCTCCAAGGAAGGTTTTTCTGTGATCTGACAGTGTCCCATCTTGAATTGCACCGTGGAAAACAGAACTGGAACTCTGCCAGCTGCAGTTTCAACAAATGAGACCGAGTTCTGGTCTATGCTCAACACAATGACATGCTCTTGCGAGGTGAAACCGCGGTGGAACACCTCCTAGAATTCAGTTCTTAATTCTTTGGTCTGCTTAGCCAGCATCTGGTGGATGCACTCCGTAGACATAACCGACATTTTTCCTCGGATGAAGATATGAGTCTTGTAAGTCTAGGGAGATTTGAGGAAAGCCCTCCACCATGGCGTTCACATCCTCTTAATGGCTAATCAAAAAAATACCATTTTCGAAGCGCGCATTATCTATCTTGAAGACAGTTATGTCCGAGGACGACGACGGGATTATTGCCATTAGACCATCGCTGAACACCGACTCGAACAAAGTCTGCTGCTCCGCTGCTACTACCTCCCGAACGAACAGGGTCGGTTACGACGTAGTTGAAAGGACAGTTAGCTTCCCTATATGATCTGTTTTCCTTTCCTTGCCACTTGAGGTTACTACAAACTTCTTATCGATGCTTGGAGCTGTTGAACTACTGCTAGCTATTTGGTTGGGTACCTCGCTAGGCTTGGTATTTTGCTTCCGGATTGCGTACTTGTTTTTCAATAACGGGAAGCTGATTGTTTTTGTCATTTGTAACACTAACCTGCGTACTGGTTGCAGCTGCCAGACGACCGAGACGCTTATTAATAGTCATTCCACCATACCAACACTCCTCCTTTTTCAACAGGAGTTTGGGACCGGCTATGGCGGAGTTACTACGTGTGACCGGATGTTAAGAATGACCTTCAGCACAGAAAATATACCGCCTTATTATCCACAACTTCAAGTCATTAAAACGAGTACTGATCAATGTTCATAGTGTCCATAATGAGGTCCTTTCTTTTTCACTTATTGCTTTGCAAATGAAGTCCATCGATCACTAAAAGGTTTTTTTAATACTGACGTTTCTTCAATTCAAGCGAGTACGCATAACAAGTTTTATTGAAACATTTTTTTTTATTATTTTGTGAGCGGCATTAGATTTTGTTCCATTTAAGAGATCCAGACTTCGAGATTTGATTACCAAATTACCTCGTTTTAGTTTTCCATTACGGTTATCAAGGTCACATTTAAATTCTGAAAAACAGAAATGTTTTATATTATAAAGAATTGCTGAAACACTTAAATATATAAATTATAATTTTTTATAATAGGATTAGGGTGTATCAAACAGCATTTCCTCAATTTTATTATAAAGATATTTGTATACTCTTTATGATATAAATTGATCAACTACAAGTAATTAATATAAAGGGATAAAACTTTTCACTAATAAATCCTTTAAGGTAAGCCACCTTATGACCAAAAATTGGCTAAATCCAACCAAATATGTTCAAGCTGCTAGGAGCAAATATGTGGACCCCAGTATCTATAGCTGACTTTTAGCCGAAAATATCGGTCAATGTATGGGATATACTATGTACATATTATATAATATGTATATTTGAAATTCAGAGATAATCCTTTTTTGATAAAAGTGTCTTTGTGTATAAAAAATGGGTTAAATCGAACTTAGCTCTTCTTGACTTGCTTAATTTACAATATGATTATACTCATAAATACATAACTTGTATACACAAGCATATAAACATACAAACTATATACTGATATATGCATACTTCCGTACAAATAGACGAAAACTTGAAGATCAGTAAAGATTTCATTATAAATAACTTAGCTACGAGTATCAAATTTATGTATGTATATACATAATACATACATACATACAAATGTATGTATTTATTAAATAATAATAATGTAAATATATACTTAAAATACATTCGATTTATAATACATATTTATTAAATAACGTTCGCATATGAAATATTAGAGGAAGCGCCACATCTAAAAATAACCTCAATTCACATTCTTATGTATAAATACACATACATACATACATACATATAATATGAAAACACAACTATTTTATATTTACATATATGCTATCGTCAGTATGTATCTATTTCACAACCGTATCTAACGCACACAGTGACGCCATACTCAGAGCGCCTGTAAAAGCATGTTCCAAAGAAGCGGTTATGTGAGTAAATGCTCTCACAACGCTTCTTCTACACATTCGCAATGGCAAAGTGAGCGCATGTGAGCGCCGACAATGACACTAGCTCTCGTCAATCGACTTTCACTTGCGGTGTGTGCCTGCAATTGTGTTATTGATGTTGTTGCACTTATTATTGCTCTTGCTAAACACGTTTTTCGTTCGATCCGCGGCTGCTCAACTGGCGAACCTGGTAGCGTGGCTACGAAGAACCGTTGGAGAGACACTGCAATCGTGACTATCCCAAATACACTCACGCAAACAAATATTCTCTTTTGCGCTCTCTCGCGCTGTCTGTGTGCGTTTCTCTTTGACGCTCACTTGCGCTTGTTTTTCAGCACCATTTCGAGGGTGTTAGCGGTTGTTGGCGGCACTGTAGGGAGCACATTAGCGAACATTATAGAAGCGACGAACTGAATTTAGTATTGTTCAGCAGCTTTCAGTGTTGATAACGAAAAAAGTGTTGGATCGTCAGCGTATTACTTAATTTGTAGCACACACACACACACTCGCACACAAACATTGGTGGAGTGTATACCAAGATCTGCGAGGGGAAAGAAAGCAATTTCGCGCCCACAAGAGCGTTTAGCTAATTTGCACACAAGCACAGCAGTCAGTAGCTGTTTGCTTACAATCACAACAACAACAACGTAGAGAAGTTGAAGCACAAGAAGTCTACTGCAGCGGCAACGATTGCATTCTTATTGTTGTTGGTTTCACACATTGCTTTGCGTGAATCATTGGCAAGCAATCATCACCTGACCAACCGAACGACAACAAGCTGCCAAAATAGCCACAACAACAACACGACAGAGTGCAACAGCAACAACCTACACTCTCGCAGTCACACACACACACATACACACGTACGCACACAACTGGAGCAGCGCTGCAAATATCGTGAGCAGAAAACCGGTTAACCACGACCAGCCTGCACAGTGCGCTTGCTCATACCGTTTTTTTTGCTGTTGTTGTTGATGCATACACGTTTTGCGAACAGCACAAGGAAAAAACTGGTTACCGCTTGCGCCAGCGAAACGCGGACCGGTTGGGCGAGTTCGTTTTTTCTACGCTGTGGGTCTGGTTTCCACTCTAACGACACTGAGCTCTTAAGTGTTCTGGTTTTCTGTGTTTAGTTATCATTGTTGTTGTTATTGCTGTTTACGTGTTGTTTTTTTTTCATTTCAAATCGGGGAACGTTTGAACGGTTTTTGTTTTACGCTAAAACAGGCTTTGCCATTTATCATTACAGTTTCAGCCGTCGAACATGGCTAAGGTGAGTGTGATCGAGTGAACTTCTTTCGCTTTTCGAAATTTTAATGCATAATTAATTTAATTCATATTCTAATATTTACTTATTTTACATATGTATGTATGTACATATTCGTTTGCAATTTGGAACAACGCAGGACACAATTTCATTACGGAACAAGTCGATACCGGAGATCAGCAAGAAAAAGGTGAGTAGCAGATACATTCCTGAACTAGATGTTTTAAATCGTTTATAGGTACTTATTTATATTATAAATTTGCATTATTTATGTATATTATTTTTATTTAAATATTCAAACATACATTATAAGGGATGGGGTCTTATTGCGTAGTGTTGAAACAATATAAGAAAGAATTCGGTTTTCTAATACCAGTAGACAATGCTGAATCTTCATATGTATATATTTTTTCTATGAAGCAGCTTTCTACATGCTTATGTCTTACTTATACATAGTTCTGGTCAACGAATTTTAGTAAAAATTTGTCTGACTTGTTACTTTTCTACTTTCTGATTTTCGAAATATCACCAAACAACGTTTTTTAAAGAAAGAAAATAGAAATAGCTTAACAATATAAAACTTGGAGAATCCATATACCAAGTTAAACAGTTAATATCGCATATGAGCACGGTTGCAAATATTAGAATTATTTTTTCATAATTTTGTAATACCGAAAATTTTATTAAAAAATAATTTTTTATTTTTAAGCCCAACTAACAGTTTGAAACAAAAAAAAATTATAATTTAATAGTGCCAACACCTTGAACATTCTGAGCAGTGGTCGACAAATTTATTCAATTTAAATTTTTACTCTTAAAGCAAAATATTAAATTTTTAATCCCAAAAATCAAAATATTAAATTTTTAATCTAAATAATATTTGCATTTTTTATTCCACAATCGTGTATAAGAATTGAATATAATTTATCAAAAAATGATTTTTTGAATTAAATTATTGCAACCCTGCATATAAGAGAAATTTCAGTTTTCTATACTTCATTTATCATTCGTCTTTTATCAAATTTAACAATTTTCGAGATGTAAACCGATAAACCAGAGTTTGTTTAGACATAAAACGCGAGAACACAATGCACTCGATGAAAATAACAGCTTATTCTAGCTATGAGACTAAGAGACTGGGAGACAGTGGGTTTGTTCTAATCACAATCATTAGGTAAAACATGTAACACAAGATAAATTAGTTCTAAAAAATTTTATTTCAAAATCAAAAGTGACATAAGCGTATTTGAATCAAGTCTCAAATTTTGAGGGCTTTCAAGTCAAACGAAACTGTCAAAGACAAATATTTTCGAAAAAACACACACTATATCTCTTATTAGTCCTCGCCACTGCCTAACAAGTACAATGATGCCTTTACAATTCTTCAGATTTCTACTACAAACTTCAAAATCAAAACAGTTGATTAATTTGATTAATGAACAAATCGTAACATTTCAGAGTGTCAAGGACTACATCGACATCGATCAAACCATACTGGAACCGAGTCCGCAACGCATACGTAACATATTGACGCTGGAGGAGCGCGTCGCCGCCATAGAGGCCTACGATTGTCGGCCCATGTACACGAAAGTGGCGAAAATGTTCAATTGCAGTTGGGAGCAAATCAAGAATATAATCGCCAATCGTGATGCTATAATGGAATTCTATATGGCCACCCGAAGCGCTGAAACGCAAAACGATTCCAATCGCCTTGAGCTGCGTTCACGTAAAATACGCTTTCTCGGCGAATGCCTCTACGAGTACATACAGCGTGCACAATTTCACACGAAGGCGCACATAACGGAAGAGTTGTTGCGCATGAAAGCCATCGAATTTCGCGATATCATACAAATCGATGATTTCATGCCGAACAAGGCGTGGATTAATCACTTCAAAGCGACCTACAATTTTTCGCTGTCAAATCGACAAATAACGATCACACGTACACCGCCCACCTCGCTGGATCTCAAGGACATCATGACTTATTGCACGAAAAATAAAGCCAAAGCGGATGCGTCAAGCCCAAGCGCGATTGAGGACAGAGAATCCGATCTATATCGCACCGCCACGCGCATCGCTATTTCCGGCGAAAATGAAGCCGCTTTACAGGAGATGAAACAACGGCGCTTGCGCAAAATTAACTTTCTCAAGAAGACGCTCTTCGAGTATTGGCAACGAGCCAGACATCACCATAAGATGCGTATGAATGAGAACTCGTTACGCAAAGTCGCTTTCGAATTGAAAGAGATGCTGAAAATCGACAATTTCTATCCGGATAAAGAGTGGTTGACGCAGTACATAACGGTCATATATCCGACAATGCTGAAGCAAGCACAGGATATGCGCCCGCCGCCGCTTTCGCTCGACCTGAAGGACATACTGAGCTACTGCAGCAGGCAGGAGAATAAGAAACAGGCGCCCAGCACGATAACGCTTGCGCCAAAAGAAATCGCGCAGCAACCAACAGCTACAACCACCACACCGCTAGTGCAAATACACACCTTTAACTTGCGACGCAACAATGAGGCGTGCAAATCAACGGGTGCGCAAATCGCAACAAGCGCTAAATCAGCTACAACAACAACTACGTTAGCAACGAAAATCAAAGTAGAAGTTATAGATTTAGACGCGGATGAAGAGGAGCAGGATGTTAAGCCAAACATAAGTGAGCTTGTGCCACCGCCACCCTCGCCTACAACAGCAACTGCAACAGCGGTCGAAACTAATAAACGCCGCAGAATACCAACACCA